ATTTTCTTACTTTAGACATTAGTTTCACTTTTTGACTTCTTCACTTTACCTATACAAGTTGCCTCATTGATAGAATCACATATTTTGAATACCAATATTATTCAAACTATTTTTCTTTTCTGTTATCTTAACAGCTTAATGTCTAAAATTTTAACAAACATTCACTATTAAACTATTTTGTCATATTTAAAGGTCATACTTAATTAATATTTTGAACTTCCGATAATTTTATCATTTTACAGTAGATGATGCCAAATGTTATTTTGATTAAATATAAAAGAGGTGAACAATTCACATAAAATTAAATATTTAATTTATTATTAATACTTTCATTTATATTAATTCACCCCCAATTATTATTTATTACAACAATGTTATATTGTCGTGAAATAAACTATATGACATAATTCATTTTAAATAATTCAGACATACCATAACATACTTATTCAATCGTTCAAGTATACATTCTTGGTAATAAATTATCATATACTGAAGGAACCAATATACGTGGGTATCTTGGTATGTATTTATTATTTTTTTCTGAAATACTTAAAGAATATATTCCTACTAATTAATCATAATTATTATCATTATTATTGCTCTAATTATTGCTATTTATCTAGTTACAGTGAAGAAAACAATACAAATTATAAAAGTTCTCTATAATTTCCTCTATAAAATACTTAAAAAAAAGTTTCTCAACACATTGTCTGCCACTGATCGTCAGTTATGAGTTTTCGACCAACTTTAATTCATGCGTTAAACACTATACATTTACCTATTGTTTCTCCTCAGAATGAATAATAAGGGAAATGTACCAACCGTTATTGTGCTTCCGATTTTATCTTATAGTAGTTAACATCAACATACGTTGAAGGCTTTTGCAAAATCACATGAGTACACAGTGGGATTCACATCCATAAATAATTTGTTAAAACAAATTTAAAATGTAAATAACTATTCTAATAGCTTTACAGCTTTAAAATAGATAGCCTGAAGATGCAAGCATTATTTTCCCTATGATAAGGATGAAAAGTGATTGCAGCTACCTATTTACATGCACTTTTAATCTTTCTCTAAATATTGAGTTAGTTTTCATTCTTTGAAATTCATCCTATTTTTTCACTTAAATGGATGGATTGATATGCTACAGCGTGGATCGATATATGTTTATACAGATTCTGTATGTACCGAAAAATGTTTCACTGATGAATTCTTTGTGGACAATCTTGAAAGAATATTAATCATAAAAAATGTTGATAAAGTATTTTAATAATGAGTAAAATAATAACTCATCAAGACGGCGTATTCTACCTGCTTATTATTAATTGTATAATCAACTTGAGATAGTTCACTTTAGTCATTAATTGTAAAAGGAATATTTTGACTGTTGATATGATTCAGAATCGGTCGCAACTGTTTAGATAGATTTACTCTTTGTCTATCCTTTGAATGTACTTTTAAATCACCTTATACTTTTAATTCTGTGACTTCTCTTATTCCTTTCAAATTACATTCTCTATGTCAAATCAGATTTCCTATCACTGATACCACAACTCTAGTATTCATCTTGGTAATTTCAGCTCACTGTAATGATATGCTTTGGCAATGTTATTTTTTGTCCCAGATTTCTATGCTGTTTATGACTGACTGATTGTTAAAATATTATCAATAATATAAAAAATTGCCTTCAAAGTAATACACAGATATATATATATATATATATATATATATATATAAGTTTAGGCTTTTATACCTTTCTAAAAGTACATTCAAAGATATCAGGAATCAACAAGATCCAAGTAGTTGTTCCGACCCATTACATTTGAAACTTCCATCCTAGTCTATCATTATATATATTTCCCATATGATCACATATAACAAGCAGTATCAGTTCTCGCAACACTTCAGGTATGCCTTGCTGATAAATTTCAACTATCACGAAACCTAATTCCAGGGTTTTCTGCCAACTTTCTCCAACCACCTAACATATTAATATAATCGCCGCAATGTCCAGTTACCTAGGCTAGTGCTCACATAACAACTTGATCGAACAACTAGACAAAGATAATATTAATCGCTGCACAGTGATCAATCGATCGAACATTTTTTTCATATTCTTCAGTTCATTGACTATACAAGTTATACTATTTCTTTTTTAAAATAAGCTATCCATTTTTAAACCAAGATTAATATATAAACTAGCTCAGTTAACTGTTTGCTGGAGAATCGATTAATCATTGACTTTATTCATCAAGCGAAAAAGTATCGAAAACTGAAAAAAACATTCAGTATGTTTTTTTAACAAAGCACATGGTCTCACCATCCATATAATAATAATAATTATATATATATATATATATATATATATATATATATATGCGTGTGTGTAATAGTTACCTATCAAGAACGAATTCCCCTCTGTCTTTTAATCGGTATTATATCTGTTTTGTTATTTAGCATTAGCTTTAAAACAATAATCAAATAAAATAGCATTTTCATTTTTTGTAATCCCATACGTCACTTTTTTTTCGTGTAGTCATAGTTTATCCAAAGTTATCTGTCGAATTTATAGAATTCGATAATCACAATTACTTTATCTTGATTAGTCTGCTTTCTCATCGCTTTCTTTGTTATAAAAATATGCGTTTTTCCATCAAGTACTTCAGGTTTTGTAAACATTTGTATCTGTATAAGACTACTTGGTGATAAAAACATATTCCTTAGATTACTACAATATTTATGGTTGAATCTTATAGCAAAGAAAGTAAAACGCGAATTCATTCTGGATAAAAATGAGTTTTATTTGTTGTACAAATGAGATCATAGAATTATTATCAGAAAACAAATCTATTTCGTGTTATCAGTTGTATAATATAATCAATCGTCCATCGAGATTCATCTTGAGCTTATATTTCGACTCAATTTAACAGTGCGCACTGGCCATTTTACCATTAACTATTTTGCATTATTTTGCCAACAATCTTAAATACATATTGTATTGGTTGTAAACGATTTATTCGCCTTAAACTTGACTATCGTTTTTGCAACGTTAATTCAGATTTATAACTATCGAACCTAATGAACAGTTATTGAAAATGATATTCGTTGTTCAGGTCATGCGTCTTTGTTTAAAATGGTTGTCTAGCTAAGTCAATCTAAGATGTAAGCTATATTTTAATTGAATAATCTTTCTACACTTCCAATGCTAGTAATCTCTTCTCTAGTTTTACAACATTCAACGTGAGAAATAAGTCTACCACACTGTAAACTCCTTTTAGAAAATTATCAAAAGGCTAATATATCAAGATTTTTCATCTCTAATACTGTTTTGAAGAATCGCAACATTCATTATTAATTTGTATTATATCAATACTCCTTCAGTATTTCATTTTTAAGATTGTGTTTACATAATCCATATTGATAAGTCTTGCTAATTGGACGCTAGATTTATTTCCTAGGCTCTTGTAGTAACCCCCAGGATAGAACTACACAGCGACTTGAACACAAGGGAAAAGGCGCAAAATCTGTAAGAAACACTTTACTCCAAAGGTTCATTCATGTACAAAAAATTTAGGGTTTTTATAGTATTTTAGATGTTCTTGGTTTCCCTGAAAATTCTGGAATGCTACTAAACACAGTAGCAGTGTAGTAATCAGAAACTCGAAATGTGACTTTTCACTTTCTTGATGTTTCTGGCAAAACTTCTAGTGAACGCCGATTGGATAAGATGCTACTCAGTGTTTTTAACGCCTTTCTTGGTTTTTTTCGACGAGTTTTCTGGACCTCCCCAACACATATAAACATTCTTACACCTCAATTCGCACTTTAGAAAATCACCAGTAGACATTTTAAATTATCCAACAGCATCAAAATTTGCTTTGAATATGACTTTAAAAATGTGCATGATTATTAAATTTCACGTCCCGCGTGCGGGATCGTGGATGCGCACTACTGAGGAGTCCCATACTAGAATGAAATGGCTATCTAGTGCTTCCAGGATTTCAATGGTGTTCTAGCTTAAATCGACTTGTAAATTCAACCATTAGAGGATTGTCACCTTCACTTCGTATCATTACGCTAGAGAACTCTAAAAGTCATGCTTTTTGTTATAAACATCAATTTGATTTTTAGTTACGAATAAGCGAACTGTGTTAAATATGTAAATAGGTGTTCAAGTACGAAGTACCACATGATTTCACGTCGATAATGCAGTCAGTTGATTACTTAGCTGTTAAAAATAAAGCCATGACAGAGGTAACACTGTACATTTTTAGGGTATGTACTTGTGAAATTCTTACTCCTATATTTGCTGCATTCACACATCCTTAATTAATTTTAGTTGACGCAATCTAGTGTTGTCATACAACAGGAAAGCTAATCATTCAGGTTTTGTATGATAAGATCATATTTTACCCCTACTATTCATATTTTTGGTGTTGATAATCAGTTATCTACTAATCAATCCGTTATGGGTATCAAGACAAAATGATTTATTTTATTTCGATACCTAATGGTATTTTGGTCTAGAAGGTTGTGTGAATCAGTCATCTACTATGTCAATTTTTTCATAGCGTGCCAGTGTGGTATGTTACTGATGTCGATAGATATAAGTAGTATATATCATCAGTCGAAAGTGAAATACCTGGAGGCAGAAGGTTAAGAAGATCAAAGAAAAGAGAACGGGAACAAAGAATTATTGGTGTAGAAACGAACGAACACTGAAGTCTGAGACGGTTGATTGACATGTTGCAAATGAACTATTTACTGTATGGTTCACAGATTTTACTAAGATGTTCTGCAATTTTGTAATCAAATATTTCCGATTATCCCCACTTGTGTTCTCATACATCGCACCAGTAAACTTAGTTGATCCACCTTTATAACTTGATCATATGGCTACATATCCATATATAGGCTCTCTCTATACATAATCTAACCATTATTCATACTATGTTTGCAGCGTCACTTCAATGATAATAATTTTCCTTTATTTTCAGTCTTATACGCTAAAGTGTTAACGGTCATGTACAACATTCGTTCTTACTTGAAATGCAGAAACGGTTACAATTAAAATCATTAGTAACTTACGTATAACTGATTGAATATTTTTTTATTAAAATATTATGAACTAAGCTGAATATAATATATTCTACGAATAAATATGGTGTCTTTAGCACAGTGATGTGGCTCAGAATCGGTATCAATGGAGCAGATACATTTAATTTTTTGTCTTAAAATACTTATATGCTTTATTTCAATAATTTATTTTTTTTATCTGGTATGATAATTCTTATCCCCAATCATTATTATTATTACTTATACTGTTAATAATTTCCTTACTGTGGCATTTTTCGTCATAATTTCATTTAGCTATGTTGATGTCGTGTGGTAATCTAAATCGATGCACTTGTGTCCCAGGTTCTGTGTGTTTTTTGTCTGACTGACCATCTTTTATGACTTCCTTTGCTATGCACCAGGACAAAATGCTAATTTGCGCATTAGTATTTTTTAAAATTCCAGTGGTCATTATCAATGTTGTTATCTTATCAAATGTTTCTGATTTTCTCGTTTCCTTTTCTTTCAATTCTAGATTTAATTCATTTATAGGCTTTAAAAAGTGAGTACCATTTTTCTTCGTTACATTTTCCAATGTTCAGTGATACTCAACCATTTAAATAAAAACCTTTTTTCGAGCTTCATATTTAGATTGTGTTAAAACATTAGCCAATATATAAGAAAAACTAGACCACATGGAGCATTGTTCCGATCGCCTAATTGTAAAACCTGATGATTCACGGAGATTTATCTTATATAATATGAAATTTGTTTGTATTACATACAATCGCGGAACTAAGACATGATTTTCAGATTTCGTTATTTTCATATGTGGATACAACAAAATAAGACAGAATTCGTCCTATTATGTAACAGAGACAAAACAAAAAAGCTAATAGCGAATTATACAAACCAATCACTAAACAAACTCCTTTGGTATAGCAGAGCTATGCATAAAGTTACGGATCGTCCATGATATGAATAATTAAGATTTGCCATTCAGTGGCAAATACATGAAATTGGTATATATACACCGTAAGATAAATGATATAAGGACCGTCATAACGTTATAGACTAAGTGTTAATAAATATTAATACACTTTGATTTTATAAAACTGACATTATGACGTATAACATTACTAGAATGTTTGAAGTGTACGAACTTTCATATTTATTCAGGGAATTAATCATGAAAGTCCAATAGAAAGTGTTTCAAATGACAAAACACAAACAATCGATTAAATAATGAATTAAAGCTGTCATTCATACATACATATATAAAATATATAATAAAAAAGATACAACTTAAAAGATCAAGAATGATGAATTAACATGAAGTTACAAAACGACCATCTGTTTTTTATTACTATATACTTCAAGACATAACTTTCCAATTATACTTTCCTGAAACAAGAATAGAACTCAGTATATATCCGTAGACTTAAATCATTCTTTGAAACACACATCGACGATCCAATTCGAATAACAATTGTGAACACGAATAATTCAGTTCAGTAACCTTAGTCAATCATCGTACAAAAAGAAACTAAGCGACAAACAGAAAAACTTGATTGTCGAACAAAAATGAAGTTTGATTTATTTTGATGTGAATATTTACCAAACGACGGTGGTTTATTGCTTGCAAAATAAAATTAATGCCTTTTAGTAAGCACTATGGAACCAACAAGCATGATTCAATGTTAGGAAAACTGTCATCCATATATGTTAACGAAAACCTCAATTGTATGCTGGGTCCTCGAATTCCTGACAGGCATTTCAGTATCCCGTTGGTTACTGAGGAGCGAAATATGAGAAAACCGTACGTACACAGTATTTTGGACAGTAGGGCCACGAGGAAACTGTAACGACTGATAACTGAAGTCTTAGTGAAATGCTCTAAACAACGAAAACGGAGAAGTGTTATAGTCAACCTCATAAAATAAAGTTTGCATGACATCAGTTCTCCTACAAATAAATATTAGTTCTGACGACTTCGATAACTACACCTCGTATGTTCGTAGGCAACAATTTTGAGAATATTTTTGAGAAGTATCCCTACAGTGGTACGAATTACCATTATTATTTCCCAGTCGGAGCCAATAAAAGCGATGGGTAGAACAGTTCACTCAAGAGCTGTAATTATTATTCAGGAAGATCCACGTCACATACTTTAAAGAGTATTATTACAGTAAGAATTCCACAGACATCTATTTTACGTATGATAATCATAGAATCAGTCGATGTATCACCAATTAATTCGTGGTTCACCTATCACTAGTCAACTTTATAATGTACTGAAATTGATTATATGGATTGAGTAGCGTTCAGTCAGTCAGTCAGTCAGTAACAACGTAGAACTTCGTACGTACGTACATCAGTTCGAGTTGCCACACCACATTAGCACAGAGATACAGTGGTCGATTCAAATCCCGTAGTGATAGAGGTAGCAAGAGTATAAGCAGTAATCGGGAAGATTAGGGTTTGGAGATGTTATTTAAAGAGTATAATACAGTGAAAGAAATTTGGAAAGAGGAAAAAAGGGACATGAAGAATTCGGAAGATTAGAGTTTGGGAGAACACAGAGAGTGGATGCACCTGCGCCATTGCAAACGATTTTGAGCCATGTCATTCAGGGTCTCTAACCATCGGTTGCTATCATCTCGCGGTCCCCAACCAGGTAGTCTACACCTACCAACATGACTCAGTTCACTTGTCAGTGACTTCATGGATTTGTGCCATGTTTTGGTTTGGCCGCCCCTAGCTTTCTTCCAACCTACTCCTATACCACTGAACATAGCACGTCGAGGCAGTCGGTCGTAGGGCATACGTAACACGTGTCCCAGCCATCTCAACTGATGAAGTTTCACTACTTCATCAATTGATTTGCCATCCTTACCTAGTACCCGTTTCCTAACAACTGTGTTACTTACTCGATGGTCCCATGATATACGAGCAATGTTTCGAAGACACCTATGATCAAATACTAGTAACCTACGGATATCCTCTACTCTTACCGGCCATGTTTCACTGCCATAAAGTAGGACGGAACGAACTGCTGCGCAGTAAACACGTCCTTTGGTTGATAGACGGATATCTCGCCTACGCCATAAATGACGCAAGTTGGCAAAAGCTAGTCGAGCCTTCTGTATCCGTGCTGAGATTTCGTCACACACCAAACCACAAGGGCTGATGAGACTTCCAAGATAAGTGAAGCGGTCGACACACTCAACTACTTCACTCCCTATCACTAGTTCGGGTGTCGATGTAACCCAATCCTGAAGCAACATTTTGCATTTCGAGGGAGAGAATCGCATCCCGAACATGCTTGCATTGTTGCTTAGAGTGGTCAGAAGACTCTGCATTTTGTCAGCGTCTTCACCAAATAAAACTATGTCATCTGCATATTCTAAGTCAACAAGTGAACCTCCTGGTAGAAGTTCAACCCCTGTATATTTAGATGAGGAGAGTGTTATCTCTAAAAGTACGTCAATGACAAAGTTAAACAAGAATGGGGAGAGTGGACAGCCCTGACGAACACCACTTGAGGTGATCAATTCTGATGACAGTTCACCATAAGCTCTCACTCTACCAGTTGTGTTCGAGTAGAGAGCCTTTATAAGGTTAATGTACTTCTTTGGTACTCCTTTCAGTGACAAACACTGCCATAGAACCTCACGATCAACGGAGTCGAATGCCGCCTTAAGGTCGAGAAATACTACCATTGTGGGGCGTCTGAATGTGTGTCTCTGTTCTAGAACCTGACGTAGTGTGAATATCTGATCGATACAACCACGTCCAGGTCGAAAACCAGCCTGGTTTTCTCTAGTCTGCTCTTCACGAGCTTTAGTTAGGCGTCGAAGTATTATTGAGGCCAATATTTTAGACACTATATTAGTCAAACTGATTCCTCTGTGATTGTCACAAGAGGACTTTTGTCCTTTCTTAAAAACTGGCACAATCAGTGATTGAGACCAGTCAGATGGGATTACGTCCAGTTCCCAAATTCTACCTAAGACCTCGGTTAATCTCATTGCTAATACTGGACCACCATCCTTAAAAATCTCAGGAGTAAACCTGTCAGGGCCTGCTGCTCTCCCTCGTTTCAGATTTCCTATGGCTTTTTCAACTTCGTAAAGGGACGGAGGACTTACATTAACTTGCCATTCAGGTTGACTGGAGATCGTGGGAAACCGAAGTGTGGCTGAATGCCAGTTGAACTGATCCCTAAAGTGTTCTGCCCATCGATCCAATCTCCTGGATTGAGAATGAATAATATGTCCATCTTTCTCTGAGATTGTTTCGCTAACGGTCGGGTTCCTAATTCCGGTTTCCTTAACGAGTCTAAACAATTGTCTGCTATTACCTATTGCCGCTGCCTTTTCCATCTCTCTTGCTTTCGCTACCCACCACTGTTCGCGATCATTGCGTAAACTTCTTGTCAGCTTGCGCTTAAGCTGACTCCGCTCTTCATTATGTTCAGAGCCAGGTGGAATGAGTTTTCGAGCATCTATCAGTGCGATAGATGCTGCTGAGATCCAGTGTTGCTCCCTAACTTTACGGTTTACCTTACTAGCAGATATCACTGCTGTTTCCACAGCTTTTCGGATATCATTCCATGCTGCCTCGGGGTGGGCATCACATACATGGCTGCCTAACTGTTTTCCTAGTTGTTCCTGAAATATACTCTTAGCTTGACTATCATTAAGTAGAGCCCTAAGAGGTTTCCTTGCAGGATCTTTCCTACGTCCAGTAAGACGCAAGCAAATACGCGCTCGCACTAGAGCATGATCCGAATCTAGGCATGTGCTCCAGAATGAGCGACAGTCTTCTATCGAGCCCCTCCATCGGTGGCTGATAGCGATGTGATCTATTTGGGTCCAACGTTGGGACGAATTAGGGGGTCGCCATGTTAAAAGATGTTTTTCCTTATGCTTAAAGTTAGTATTTGCAAGGAACAGGCGGTTATCTGAGCATAGCTGCAACAGACGGTCGCCATTGAGTAGCGTTATTGCTAAATTATTTTCGACTACGGTTGTTATAACATGTTCTGAATGAAAGTAGCAGGTATGTGAATTCCTATCATTCTATTATCGACGTGATCAAGTTTGTAGTTATTCGAAAGTGTGACTTCCTTTGTAAACGAACTGAAGACTAGGTGATATGCTACGATTCGAAGTGGTTGATATACTGAACTATTTAACAAAACGTATGAACTGACAGAATCATCAATTTTGTTAACGATCAAACAGTGATCTTGATGCCTTTAGAATGATCGTTGTGACCATTAAATTAAATAACCGTAAAAATCTCCAAAGAATTAATAAAGTTGAATGGTCGCGACTTCTGACAGATAAGCACATTGACCAACATGCAATAATCTCATAGCGAGGTTAAGCTTATCCAACTTTGTGTGGTTGGAAGCAGAACATATAAACGAACAGTAGGATAAGATTTATTTGATGTCGAATAACACGTGCAATGTAGATTACGAAGAAATCATGTGCATCTGATATGTATATATATTGTGTAGCTTAAGATAGTCGGAATGTGTAGTTCTTA